TTGGTTTCATAGGTTATATTTGCAAGATTCAATTCCCACTCCCCATGTTTAAGTTTCTTTCTAATCCTGCAATGTAGATGCCTAATGGTCACAGCTGGGCTATTGGATATTAAGAGAGATTAAGGCTGCACGCAGCAGCCACTGGCCAAAACCAGCCCAGGGAAGTGTTTCATTTCCCAGCACTGTGATTTACTTGTTTGTTGTTGTTTAATTGAATTTTTTTAAGGTAGACCATGAAACAGTCAATTTTAAAAACTCCACCATCTCTTCATATAATTACATTTGTGTCCCTGGTCCCTTTGGGAATTTGGGTTTGCAACTCTTGCAATTGTCAAGATGGTATAAGTCATTCTGTACGTTAATTTCTTTCCATGACTTTACTTACAGAACTGTACATTGCAGGTTGTTTTGGGGACATTAGTCCCAGGAAAGTCTTAAATACTGGGTTTAAACTGCTATTCTGAACAGAATAAAAAATCAGTGGGTTTGAAAATATTTGCATTTCAATAACCTTATGAAAACAATGAAAAGGAAGCCTTGATGGATATATATGGCCAATGGAGCAAACGTCTATTGAAGTTAAATCCGTATATGTTCCCTTTTAAAAAATGATTATCACCCAGCCAGCATGACTCAGTGGTTGAGCATCAACCTGTGAGCCAGTAGGTCACGGTTGTGGCCTATTGACTCAGTGGTTGAGCATCAACCTGTGAGCCAATAGGTCACGGCTGTGGCCTGATCCCCAAAAGGGAGCGTGCAGGAAGCAGCCTATCAATGATTCTCATCGTTGATGTTTTTGTCTCTCTTTTCTTCTCCCTTCCTCTCTGAAATCAATAAAAATATATTTTTTAAAAAATTATTATCATATTTTCTCTTTCATGCTGACTGAGAAGGAAGAGCAGGTGACTCTTGACCTGTTTACTGCAGAGTTATTGTGCTCACACCTAGAAAATGACCATTTAACAATGAAGCTCTTATGAACCTGAACATTGATTTTTATAATATATTTCAAGTATTTGTTATGGAGATTGCAAATTGTTTGCTTACCAAACTTGTTACACAAGTTTGAATGTCCTCCCTTAAATTGTAAATGACCACATAAGCCATATATTAATGAACCTACAACTCGATTGAGCCATCTAAATTGGCTCTCTGTTGTCAGTTTAGAAAAAAACATTAAAGCTCTTTCTGACACATCTGATCCAAACACAGCAAGTAGCTCATTGTTCACCAGGATTTAGGAAAAATTAGGGAGGAGGCCATCTAGAGAAAGATCTGGAAAGGAAAAGAGTTCTCTAAGTCGTGCTAGTAACTCTTGCTACCTAGATGGAGATGTATTTCCTACGCAGCCCTCATCATGGGAGGAAAGATTTATTTTTTTCTCACGCAGGATTGGTGCAGATGGTGCCCGATGCTGTGACCCTAGCAAAGATCCACCGCCACGCTGGACTGATGGGACCACTGAAGGAAAACACCATCAAGAAGTGGTTCAGTCAGCACAACCACTTAAAGGCAGATTATGAAAAGGTTTGTCCAGCTGGAGCTAATTTTACATAATGCGCTTGAATACGAATATGCTCTGGTCCATTAGAAATTCTGATTTATGAAAAAGTAACTCCGAGTTCTAATGCACTCAGTCATCAGCCTAGTAACAATGACCCAGTTTAAATGATAAATTGACCAGATAAAAATTTCTGTTTTGTTTTTTTTTCTGGGTCAAATTCCAGGCTATTAATAAAGACTCTCTTTGCTCAATTGCCTCCCTTATCTCACCTAAAAGGATGCTCCTCCAACTACGCCCTTCAAGTTACCTCTGCCAATTTATACACAATCTCCCATTTCTAGAAATCTCCCTCCTTCCTTTGCAATACATTTCTTCTGCCAAACTCTACTTTTTCATGCCTTATTCTTTCAATGTTTGCAAAATGCATAATAGAGTTTTAAGTTTTTTTATATCGCAGTACTTGACAAAACATACTGTTTTATTGACTGCAAACATTTCCCCCCACTTCACTTCCTCTTGGCATCTGGCCACCAGTGTACAGTTATGTGGGTTCGATACCAGGGCTCTAGGTTAAGGAGAGCAGTTGGTTAGAGCTCAGCCTCATTCTGCCTACCAAGACAGGAACTAGTAGATCTGGGTCCACCCAGAGACAAAGGCACTTTTATGTTAATTCACACAAAGACACAACATGAGCTGGCATTAAACTTGCTCCGACTGTTCTGGGCACTGAAGTCTCCTCACTCTAGGAAACCCTTCAGTCCTTGCCCACCATGGTGACTGTTGGGAGGCCAAATAACAGAATTAGAAGTTATCTTGAAATCTATTTTTAGTTATTCCCCACATTGTAATTTGAGTTTTACACAAAACTCCGTTTTACTGTTTCAGGTGATTGCACGTACATTTGCTCTTCACAGCCATGATGTGAAGAACATATTTTATCTTCAATTTATAAGTGAAGGCATCTAGACAGATAGATTATGTGGCTTGCCCAGACACCTAGGGTACCTGAATGAAGGTGTCCCAGCATGTAGTCTAGTGACATAGACTGCCTGTCCAGCAAGTCAGCCACACCATTTGAGGAGACTCATAACTGTAGCCCAACCAATCACGCACGGTTACACCAAGGGTACTCATGGTTGCATCATTGATGAAAATGATGCACAACCAGGATACCATGTTGAAAACATAGAGTAATTTTGGCAAGATACCTCTGTTCATTAAAAAAGCATAAGACACAATTGACTTAACAGTAATCTGTTTCTACACACACAAGCATTCATTCATATATACTGTACCAAGACACTTTTAGACATATATAGTGTACCAAGACACTTTTAGAAGCATTCATTCATATATACTGTACCAAGACACTTTTAGACAAGATACCTCTGTTCATTAAAAAAGCATAAGACACAATTGACTTAACAGTAATCTGTTTCTACCCACACAAGCATTCATTCATATCTACTGTACCAAGACACTTTTAGACATCGATCCACTTCCACCCACACAAGCATTCATTCATATATACTGTACCAAGACACTTTTAGACATCGACTAGGTGATCCATTTGCATAAACAACTATAAACTAAACATAAACTACAACATAAACATATTACAGAAATTTCAACATAGCTTTTTCTGTGTTAAAAATTCAAATATTAAACAGCTGATATTTTAAATTTCTCTGGGATAGGCAATATTAAGTCATATTGTTTCTTCTTTTACCTTGAAAAAAATCATTCAGTAATGTATATTTGAGACATCAAAAAAAATCACACCAAGAAACCTCTCTAGAAATTCTGAAATTTAGCTCCAGATGAATGAAAGAAATATTTTCCTCATTTTAATGAAAACATGTATGTATTAGGCTAAAGAAGATATCACTTCATGTTCTTCTGTCACATATCAAGAGCTAGTTATTTAATTATACCTTTCTCTCAGCTGAAATCTAGAAGTGGTTCTTGATTATGTAATTTTGGTTTCATCATACTTTTTACCATTAACTCTGATGTGAATGCATTTGCTCATTTTTATGTGTGTGTTATTCTTGTGTTATTGTTTTTCAATTTATTAGGCCTTGAGCAACTTTTTCTATTCCTGTGCTGGCTGGTGTGTGGTAACGTTCCTCCTGGGAGTCTGTGACCGTCACAACGACAATATCATGCTGACGAAGTCAGGCCACATGTTTCATATTGACTTTGGAAAAATTTTAGGTCATGCACAAACATTTGGAGGGATAAAGAGGTCAGTGCACAAATAATTTTTATTACAGTAATTAAGTAATATCTTAGAGTGATATACAATGGCATAAAAACCCAGCATTTGACTTGCTTCCCATCTCTCAAAACCCTGAAGAAAACAAACAATTAAAAAAATCTAATAAACTAAAGGAAATTTTTTTTCAATAGATGGTTAATGGAAAAATTAGTTTCCTAAAATAGTTAGTGGACTAAATTGGTCCTCTCCTATGTGATACTAATCCTGTTATAGTCTGAATTATCTGAAATACAATATTTTGGGAAGTTTTAATAAACCTTGAATGGGCAATGAGACATAAGTTTATGGTCTCAATGCTTCTGATATATTGCCCATAGCATTCACCACTCCTGGTTCACATATCGTAAAACTTGCACATTTCCTGAACCCAATCAGTCTTAAATCATTGTAAATATAGTTAGTGAGCACCTAGATCAAGAGTCTGGGGCTACAACATTAAACAAAACATATACAAACCCTGATCTCCTTCTAGTAGAGATGACAGGCATTAAACAAGTTAACATGCAAAGAAATAATATGAGGAAATAAGGTATTTAATTTTTTATTAAGACACTGAAGCAGAGAAAAGGTATAGACAGTAACTGAGGCAGGGATGCTGTTTTAAAGAAGCCTTTTGGAAGAGATGAGAAGCAACTGTGTAATGAGTGGTAACTGTGGAGATCCATGAGAAGAAAGAAAAGCAAAACTATCAACCATGAGCATTGAAATAAGCACATGTTCCAGTGACAAGAAAGCCTGAGGCCTGAAGGTGGGATAGAGAGGGGCAGGCAGAAGGAGGTAAAGGTGAGGAGTCTGGTGGAGGCCAAAACAAGTAGGGCACTGAAGACATGGTATGGAGGTTGACTTTTAGTTTAAGTCCAGGGGACTAGTTAGGAGGCTATTGCAATAGTTAAGGCAAGACCTTAATGGTAAAAAGTGATGCAAACTGACAGATTTCGGATATATTTTTGGAATGAGCCACAGAACCTGCTAATTGTTTGGGCTGAGGTGGAGGCCCAGTGTGTTAGAAGAAGAAAAGAAAATGTTCTAGATTGGCTCCTGGGTTTTTGGTTTTAGCAAATAATTATATCATTTATTAAGAAGGAAAAAGCTGTTGGTTGAATAGATTTTTTTAAATCTTATTTAAGCTGAAGTCAAGGAAACCAGAAGTATAAGGGCAATGTCCCTTGCTTTAAAAAGGATACTTCATATAAAAGTAGAAATGGGATCAAACCATTCCAAAGACTAATCAGTCATTTAGCTAAAAACAGCTCCTCCATAGAAGAAATAATAATGTCTCCTACAATATAATGTGATGAACTTTCTCCAGATGGCCATACTTTGGTATTAAAATGCCAACATAAGCTACCTAATATGGACCTTTGAGAATAACATTGATTTCTTGCTGGACTATTGCCCTTTCATACTCATGCTTACATCACCATTTCGGAACATCTCACCCTAACCATCTGTGTGACTCTATTTAGGAAAGGTTTGCAAACATCAGGCTCGCCTCATGAGTCAGCCCAGCAACACGCTCATTTGGACTCCTTGCCCAGGAGTCCCTGAACCATTCCTCAGAATTCCATTTTCCAGAAATCTGGAAAGCCCATCTTCATGCTTAGACCAAATCTGAGGCTACTATAGACTTTCTAACTTTGAAGAAAGAAAGAAATCAAATAGCAGTAATGAATATAAAGGTTTTCACATCCTGTACGTAAACAAGCAATCCTTCCTTATTGGTTTTAATTATGGGATTTAATTAGGGGATTAGATAAATGATTCTGGGAACATTTGGCTAATCCCTATAATAAAAATACTGACAAATTTCACCAACTTTCTGAAACATAATAGTTTTTCTTCTAAAGTATTGCTTAATTATTATCTTCATTGCTCTATTTTCTCTCACAAAGATTCAAATTAAAGTGGTTCAATTATGCATACACAATTTTTCACTCAAAGTTCCACTGTAACAATGATTTCTATATAGTCATTTTTCATTGCCTAAAAGATACTCTTGTAATAAATTCTAAATTTCAGCTCAGTTTTTTGATGACTCTCTTTTAGAGGAAAAATTAGGACAGCTCTTTATTGGTGATGTTCATTGCTCTCCTAACTCATTGAGTCATACTTTTTAGTCTTTCAGAGCATATTTCCATAGTCTATCTCATCTTTCACTTTCTAAATACTAAACTCGATGAAGTATTTCTTATAACTTTCTTTTTAGATACTTTTAGAGAGTGTATGAGCAGTGGTTATGGTCAGGTACCCCGGAGATAGATTGTGTGGTGTGTTTTTTAATCTGATACTAACATGTGCTACTGATATGACCTTGAACAAATGGCTTCTCTGTGCCTCAGTTTAGTCATCTATAAACAGATTGTTTTGAAGATTAAATTAATTGATATATGTAAAGAGCTTAGAAGAGTGCCTAGTATTGAGGAGTCTATACATGTTTATTGTAATTAATTATAACTAAGTATTCCAAATGAAATGACAAGAAAAGAGAATGCATCTCTAGGTGACAATTATTTCTTCCATTCTAAATTATCAAAATATATTTTTGGTGCTTTTTGAAAAATCTTTATTATTGAAAGCATCGCATGTGTCCCTTTTTTCTCCCATTGACCCCTATAGCCCACTCCCTTTTGAAAGTATGTGCTGTGAAAGTCAAAAATTGAACTATTAGTCCTTTAAGTTCTCTGACTTTGAGGCTTGTTGACTAACAGACTGGATTGTACTCTCTGTCAGGTTTAGTTAGATTGTAACGTATTTCACCAAATCATGCTTGACTTCAGAAATAACTTTAGACATAAGCAGAGATGTGCTGGACCAGCTTCCAAGAGCCTGTTGTGCCTATTACTTCTCAACTCCACATTCAATGACATCACATTGGTAGACTAAAATCAGCCATAGTGGGAATGTATACATGACGAAAATTGGCAAATGTCAGAAATCACAGCTTTTTCTATAAAAAAAGTGAGCTAGTGATTAAATATATATCACCACACATCATCCATTTAAAACATATGAAAAAATCATTCCAGAACTCAACAAAATAAAATGCAAACTCTGTTCTTTTCTTGTTAAATTATTTATAGCCAGGATGGTCTAAAAATTATATAGCTGTCTTCTTACAACATGGTTTATATTCTTTTCAAGTATCCATGATCGTTTTGACATTATCTTCAATGGTTAATTACCACTGATTTAAAGATTTTTGATGATTTCTAATTTGAGTATTAAAATGTTTATATTCTAAATATTCTCAATTTAAAACCACCTTTGGAAAACAAAACTCCCTTAGCAGATTAAGATATTAATTTTTATCTTGATCCAATCATCCTGGTTTGGTGCAATATTCATAATAATCCAAATGCTATACAGGTATTAGTGATCTTCCACATGCTTTCATTACTATCTTAGTTTTCTCTGAAATTCTCTGAGTCAGCCTTAGCCAGAGTGTCTCAGTGGAGAGAGCGTCGGCCTGTGGACCAAAGGGTCCTGGGTTTGATTCTGGTCCAGGGCACATATCTCAGTTGCAAGCTCCTCCCCGGCCCGGGCCCTGGCCAGGGCTTATGCAAGAGGCAACCAATCGATGTGTTTCTCTCACATCGATGTTCCTCTCTGTCTTTCCCTCTCTCTTCCACTCTCCCTAAAAACAAACAAACAAAAACAATGGAAAAATATCCTCGGGTGAGGATTAAAAAAAAAAAAGAAATTCTATGAGTCTTACTGGTTTGTTATTCACACAATTGTCTAATAAGAAACATTGCAATTCTTTTTACTCGAAGAAGGCCTCATCTAAATTTTCTATAAGAAACATACACCTTCTAATAACTCTTCAACCGTGAGTGACTTAAATGCATCTTTGTATCTTAAGCACCTAGCTAACACCTGACACTTAACAGAGGCTCAGTCTTGGTTGATGACTACAAAAATGCCATAAATTTTATTTTTTTTGACCTGAAAAGTATAATTTTTCTAAATATAAAATTATTAATAACTTGGCATATTCTGTTTTATAACTGGAAACTTACCAAGGGATTTTTACATAGTGGTCACTCTCCTTTTGGGAGTCTGGGGGATAAGACTCAAACTTTGAGACACACTACCTCATACCATGAGGATGGCTACTATCAAACAACAGGAAACAAGTGTCAGCAAGAATGTAGATATAGTGACACACTTGTGCAATGTTAGTGGGAATATAAAATGCTACTGCTGCTGTGGAAAATGGTATCTCTATTCCTTAAAAAAATAAAAATAGAATTACCATATGTTCCAGCAATTTCACTTCTGCATATATATCCCAAAGAATTAAAAGCAAGGACTAAAACAGTATTTATACATCCAAGTTCTTAGCATCATTATTCACAATAACTAAAATGTAGAAGCAACCCAAGTGTCCAACAACAGATGAATGAGTAAGCAGCAATGTGTTATATACATACAACAGTATATTATTCAGCCTTAGAAGAAGAAAATTCTAATGCATACTACAACATGGATAAATCTTAAGGACATTATGCTAAACAAAATAAGTTCAGTCACAAAAAGGAGAATGCTGCATACTTCCACTTATAGAAGCTACTTAGAGTAGTCAGAATCATAGAGACAGAAAGTTAAGTGGTGGTGGCCAGGAGTTAGGAGGAAAGAAAAATGAGGAGTTATTGTTCAATAAGTATAGAGTTTCAGTTTTATGAGATGAAAAGAATTGTGGAGATGGCTGGCAGTAATGGTTGATTCCACTGAACTGTACACTTACAAATGGTTAAGATGGTAAATTTTACATTATATTTTTTCTACAACAATGAAATCATTTTTTAAAAATGGCATACTATAAGTATCACAAAGGCTCTGCTAATCACAAAGTCAGTTCTAAGCAAACTCCTCCTAGAATTTGAATAGTGCTTTGGGTTTTCAAAGTGCTCTCACATAGACTATTTCAAGAAATAAAGGTGGTCATTGCCATTTACTTCCTATTA